TCCCTACAGCTGTTCATCCTTCGCATTGGCTTATGTGAGCACAGGTGAATGATACACTGGCTATACACAGAACAAAAAAAAGAAGAAATCCTTTTCTACTCCCTTACTTATTTGATTTCTAATTTCTCAGGGGAAAGACACCTTAAATTTCTTGACCACGCATTTTCTTCACATGTCCAGAAGTCCCATATTCTATAACAGAAAACTACGCATTCTATTCAATGCACTATGGTCAGCTGGGGTTTTCCTGCACTCTGTACAGATCAAAGACTTCCATTCATTTTGCCACTTACTACAAATTATTGGTTACTCGTTTCAGTTCATAGCTAAAATGATCCCTGCAAATCAATTTAAAATGCAAATTTACTCTTTTTCAGTGTAGAAATGCTAATGTGAATATACATGCCCAGCATTAACTTCAAAGTTTGAAAGTGCTGTTGCTACTGAGAGATTAGGCAGTTCTAAAAAACATTTCAAAACCCTCACAACTGTGACAAATTCAAATCAGTTTATCGAAACTCTGAAATTTGTTTCTTTCCTGTAAGCCATTTCCCTTCTATCTTCCCACCCAACCAGCTCCAGTAGGACACACTGATGAGTCACAAGAATCTTTTCGGAATGGAGGGAGTGATGGGGCATGTCCACACTGCAGCGGCAGCACGACTGGGGGTGCAGCCAGCATGCCTTATCTGAAACTGCCTTACCTGTGTGTTGTTGGAAACAGACCTCAGGCTGGGATGAAGAACCACTGAGAGCACAAGGGATGCTCAGGTATTAAGCTCACATAGAATTCTCTGCAGCCACAGATGTACCAGTTTAAAGCCCTCTCAATCAGTCCTGCCAGCTTACCAGCAAAGACACATTTTCCTCATTGGGACAGGTGGATCCCATCAGGCCCCAGCATACCTTGTGTTTCAGACTCTTCCATGATCATAAAAACCAAAGTTCTGGCAGAGGCACCAGTCCTGGAACCAGTATTGATGTCTTGGGCACGCCTGTTTCTTTCAAAGTCTCTCCCCATTACTGGGAGGATTGAGGAAAACACTACCTGTGCTTGTGAACCTTTCAGCAGTCTTCTCCCAGAGCCCTGAAAGCTCTTTTGATCAACCTTGCACTTCTAGTTGCAACATCTTTAGCACCCACGTGAAAGATCAGGAGTGGGTAATAGTCTGAGGGCTGTACTAAGCTCATCAGTCACCTGGTGACATCCCTGACTGGGGCCCCAGAGAGGCAGCAAACCTCTGTGAAAAGAAGGTCTGGTCTGCAAATGGGTGCCTCCGTTCTGCTCAGGAGGGAGTCACCAGTGACCATAACTCGCCACTGTTTCTTCTCGGCGCTGGTCTTAACGCAGGTCTTGCTGCGAGAGGCTGGTTGATGCGCCCTTGGCGAGGGTGCTCACATAGGTTCCTCCTCTTCTATCTTATCACGTGCTTTGTCTACTGTACCCAGAGCCTCGTACCTATTCTGTGAAGGTAGCTGAGAGGGTTCCTCTTACGGCTCCGTGCAGCAACCTGCTTCCACCCCTCCCTATCCCCCATAACACTGCCGCCCTCCTGGCACAAAACAGGTCCTGGACCTACCTCCGTAGCGGCCACGCTGAGCTGGCTCGCGTGCACCAGAGATGGCAGCGCACAGCTCCAAGGGCCCATCTCCTTCTCAGACCCTCTGAAGCAACCCGTCCCGTCCCGCCCACCTCCTCCTGCGGCTCCGCCCCCCGGCAGAGCAGCGC